ATTAAAAATAATTTCTTTATTTAGCTAAATTTAAAAATAAATAAGTTTACTACTAAAGTTAGTAGTATTAAAAATTATTTATAAATTTATAAAATAAATATTTATATATTAATAATTTAGAATTTTCTAATAATTATATATTACTAATTTATAGTTATAAATTTTTATTATTAAAAATTTCTAAATTACTATTATTTAAATTAATATTCTATTTATTACTATTTTTTTTCTTTAAATAGTAGCTAATTTTCCTCTATAATAATAACTTAATTTATATAATAATAGGTAATATTTAATAGAGGAGAGTTAGAATAAGAGTAAAATATATAGATTTTACTATATCTTTAAAGTTTTTTACTAATAGTAGGCTAACTAAATATAGAAATCTAAACTAGTATTTTTTTTATTCTACTATAGTATAAAGTAGACCTTAATTAGTACTAATAGAGTACCCTTATAGCTTTATTATAAAGATACTAGTAAATATAGTAGAACTACTAAAAATACTACGAAGTAAGGGTATAACTAGAGGCCTCTATAAGCTCTTACCTAATTAGGAAATCCAGATCTATTTTTCGTTCTTTCTGGCTTAAAATTACGGTTGCAAAATCCCTCTATTAATATATTTTTAACCCATCTAAACAGCAACGTTCTGGTTGATGACTTCGCCAACCGATTTCCAAGTAGCACCAGCCGGCATGGAAATAACACGTCGTTCCTTCTTCTCTAGGCCAACGAACTCTGGAGGAAGCACGTTGTCAAACGAATACCCCTTTTCGTTTCGCAGAGCCGCATCCACCGCTTCAGCAAATTTGGCTGGATGTGCGGTCGACAATGATATGTGAAAGGTCTCTGCGCACCGAGATATCGATCTCAACGATGCTGCAACTCCAATCGCGGAATGGGGGTCAAGGATGTATCCCCCCGTTTCTCCTCTGGTGCCAGCGCTGACAGGGGTTTGTGGGAAGCAAGTCGAGTAAATGGATCGAATAGTGTCGATCGTTTGCTCATTAGATACCCGCTCACTCTCGAACTCTTGCTGAGCTGCCTGGAGTATCTTCTCATCAACTCCAAATCCTCCCTTGCCAGAGAGATCCTGAAGCCAGCTGAGAACTGTATTGCCAGCGATTTTCCGCTTCTCGTCGATATCTCCTTGACCGTATACTTTGTAAGCAAGGAACCAGAGAAGCCGCTCAAAATTGCTTGATACCAGAATGTCCATAGCAGGACTCCAAGTTTCTTTTACAGCAGATGCGCTGGCTTGCGCCTCAGGCTGTGCTTGTTTCGTGTACTGGCCAGTTTTCAAGAACCTGTCAAGGATGTCATTCTCGTTGGTGGCAATAACCAGTTTATCGACTGGCAGGCCCATTTGCTTTCCAAACCAGCCAGCCTAGCAGGAAGAACGGAAAAGATATACGTGAGCGATTAAGTTCAGGTAATTTATTGTTTAGATTATGCAAAACTCACCAGTATATCTCCAAAGTTACCTGATGGCACGACAAATCGAATAGGCTTTCCATTGACGTAGGTGGGAGATCGAATGAGGGAGAAATAAGAATGGAAGTAGTAAGTGATTTGAGCAAGAATTCGGGCCCAATTTATCGAGTTCACAGCAGCTAGCTTGTGGGTTTTGTTGATTTCAGGGTCGGCAAAAAGAGCCTTAACCATATCCTGACAATCGTCGAAAGATCCTGGAGCCACGCCATCAGTTAATTAAAAATAAAATAAAATAAAATTACTTGATTGAGTGTGGACATACCTTCAATACTGATGTTATGGACATTTTCATCTAACACAGTTGTCATCTGAGCTTCCTGGATTGGAGACACTTTGCCCTTTGGATGCAGGATGAAGACGGAGGCGTCCTTCTTCCCACGTAGCCCATATATGGCAGCTGAGCCGGTGTCTAAATACCCATCAGTAGCGTTCTATTTTTACGAGGGTTTAGAGGATTGCATACCTCCACTCGTAGCTCCAATAACCACAAGATGGTGACGGTCCTTGCCGGACTTGCCCTATATGAAGCATTCATTAGTTTGTCCGCTCGTCTCTAGAGGCATTTTAAACCAAATTATCGATGAAAGAAATTAGATACCTCATTCCGTCTCACGAGGAAGTATTCAAATAGGTTTCCCAAGAATTGCAATGCCACATCTTTAAAGGCAAATGTAGGCCCGCAGAACAGCTCCAAAAGATATAATCGCTTCTGCTCGTCCAATGTGACCAGTGGGGTGATATCGGGAGACCTGTTCAACCCATTCGCATCAGCAAGATAGCCACTGAACAGCAAATTATTATTATTATTTTGCCTGACAAAACATACCTGAATGTCCCGTAGCTGCGAGATATTATGTCCTTCAAGTCATCTGATGGAACCTCTGAAGGGGAGATGTACAATGATAGGATCTCAAAGGCCAGCTCCTGGAAGCTATAGTTGCGCCACTTTGTCTCCCAGTCCGTCGGCAGCGAAGGGATCTGTTCCGGGATAAAGAGGCCTCCGTCTGATGCCAGTCCCTTCAGGACGACTTCTTCAAAGGAAAACTGTCCAATTTGTCCGCGTCAGTGAAAAATCCTCATTAATGCGATAACTAGTTGCTTGCAGGGGCTTCATGCTTGCAGGGGAAGCTCTGCGATATCGGTACATACCCCGTACGAGCCACCCCGAGAGCTCAAGTACTTCTGCGACGCCGTAGCAGCCATCGTCACACCGAAAAAGACAAGAATCTGCCTTCTGTCGGTGCAATTATAAGCGTTCAATGAACGGTAGGAAAAGGTGAAGTTGAAGAAGACGAACTCCTTGAGTCACAAAATCGGCCTTTAGTTAACTGCAGTCTTTCTAACTGGTGGGGCAAACCACAGCCAGATTGCGCGATGAAAAAAGGGACGCCGAAGTTTGCAGCTTTTGCACCTGTGAGGCATATGTAAAGAAAACTCGGAATTTTTCAGTTTTGACACGGACAAAGAATAATAACTGGCTGAGGAAGTGATAATATCTACTGCAAAGATTACTTTATATACTAGCGAATACAGAATGGCCAAGTTCGAAGCGGCGTTGAAGAAAATTGACGACGTCCACTCGGAAGACCCAAAGCTGGCCAGAGTCAAGACTGACGCCGGAGAAGACGAGGAGATACCAGATGAGCTTCACTATGCCAACAGAATGACGGAGTATCTTCTCCAGCATGACCCCAACCCCTCCGAGCTGCTCCGCCTGGCCGTACGAGCCCAACATTTGCAGCGCTGGGAGATTCCTCGCGCCGACTACCCTATGAACCGCATGGGATATCTCTCCTGGAGAACGGCGCAGAAGAAGCGCCAGGCAACTCATGCTGAAGAGATATGTCTGAGCTGTGGGTATTCCACAGAAGACGCCGCGAGAGTGGCTGCACTTGTGAGAAAGGAGGACATGAAGCGGGATGCCGAGTGCCAGGTATTGGAAGACGTTGCATGTCTTGTGTTTCTGGCAGATCAATTCGAGAAGTTTGAGCAAGAGCATGGCGAGGATCGGGAGAAGATTGTGAACATCCTGAGGAAGACATGGGCGAAGATGTCGGAACGGGGTCATGAGTTAGCCCTGCAGATTAAGATGTCTAACCAGGCAAAGGGGCTAGTTGCTGAGGCACTTGAAGCCTGAGCATCGCCCAGTACTTGCTTCGGATATCATCAGTCGTCTGATCTCATGTCCCAATCTTTTCCAACTCGACTTAATATCAAAATAAAGCGCCACCAGTGGGATTGATAGCTCTAGCCAGAGCTATAGATGCACCGGCAGCCAAACCCCCAACAACAACCATCTGTAACCCTCCTTTGATACCAGCAACTATATTTTCCTTGCCTGTCCAACCTCGAACGACGCACGTCTTGACGTAGCCAAAGACCAACAATGTGAAAATCATGATACCAATACTATAATACAGCGCCACCAAAACTTGATCGACCATGAAATAAGGAATAAGGGGAATGAAGCCGCCAATAAAGTATCCCAGTGCAAGGGTGATGGCAGATATCCATGCCTGATGGCATCCTGGCTTGGATTCTTTATGATAGAAAGTGAGAAGGAAGTCGAGGAGTTTCTCAGGGGAGTTGTATAAGATATGGCTCATTCGAGCCACGGGCTCCTCTGGGAGGTTGTATGGAGCAAAAACCTGGTGGATGATATTCATTGTTTCCATGGGGGATGCTTTGACTAGATGTTTTGTCTCTCGAACCGTGGCTTCGTATGATTCTCTAAGGCGCTGTTAGATACGTTTTGTTCATGTATATTGGTGCGTGTATGCGTGAATCTGACTTACACTTCACTACGAGAGCCAACGTATCCGCCCAGGCCCATGGATATAGCACCGGCAACAAGTTCAGCCAGCCCACCGACAACCACCACTCTCGAATTCCCTAGAGCAGAGAGGCCGGCACTGAGAGCAAAGGGAACTGTCAACCCATCCGAGAGGCCCAGGATAGCATCAGAGACAATTCGGGGGTTCACTCTAGGTCGAGTAGAGGAAATACTGCTAGAAGTCTCTGTACTCTCCGTTGGCGAAGGGGGAAATGTCCCATACGGCGAAAAGGCCTGTTCCTCGAGGTCCTGCGGGCTCCAGTGGCTGTGTCTGCCACCGAGCATAGGCTGGTCTGCTTGTTGCTCTTTGGTTAGTATTCCTGCTTCTTTACCATAACATTCGTGTGTGAGGAAGGATCAGGGGGCTCACCACTCATGCTGGTATCTTCTGCTGCCGCTCTAGCTCTTCAGAAGCAGAGCACCTAGGGGCTATGCTTAGGGAGTTGCTTAAGGGGGATGTGTACTTCACAACCAGCCAGCTCCTCAGGTACGAACGTCCTTGGTCCTTTTATCCTTTTGAAACAGCCTTGGAATAGGTAGTTATCCAGGGCAAAATGAAAAAAAAAAAAGGACAGTAAGAGTTCTAGGCGTTGGTATCAGGTCGGAGATACGGAGTATAGATGCCCAGGACTGGATGTAGTACTCCGCAGGCGCTCAAAGCATGCCTTTACACTGGTAATAGATGGTTCCTCAGGGGGTTTAATTGTCCAGCTGCAGCCATCAAGACATCCTCCTCGTCTTCCACAGACGGGGTAGCATCTCTTTTATAACCTCCTCCCCCCCTTTTAACTCATGCTGGTCTGCCGTCTATCATTAACACAGCTCTCCATGCACTAGATGACGGGATCTGGGAATGTACACTGAGCGCAGCCAATGGGCTGCCCGCTTATTGTAAGCAGCAGGCTTTCTCCTTGCAAGCCCTGCTTCCCCATCGCCCGCTGGGCCACTCAGCGTGAAGGTGATTACTTTCCCGCCTCTCCGACTTGATGGTTGCGAAGGTGAGACAAGCCGCAAGGTTTGGCCAACTTATCAGTTTAACTGACGACTCCCAAGGTTGTGGTTCTGGCCGTGGCAGTTGGCGATGGTTGATATTGTTAACTGTTATTATTATTAATATACAGAGAGGCTTCATTCTTCATAGACGGACAGTACAGAGAGAAAACGGGAACATTCCAACCCGCCATAAAAGAGTCAACGATCCCCCAGCGAGCAGCCAAACCAGTAACTAACAGGGGGGTTTAACCAGGCAGATCATGCGCCCCCCTCGCGCTTCGCGTACTCCTCTTCCATGCGCTCTTCGTACAGTCGATCAACCTCCTCCTGCGTCATCACGCCGGGCCCTCTACCCGACGCTGTGGGCGGGACATTCGTGGTCGTTTCGGCAGTGGCGGTCATGGTGATAGTGGTATTTGGCGTTGATAAGGGGTCGTTCATGTTGCTTTTGCCGTTGGGGCCCACGGTGGATTTGTCCTTTTTCTTGGATTCTGGACCCAGTGGCACAGGCATCTTTGCTGCTTGTGTTCTGTCTGTTTGCACGATTTGCGTCTTCTGTAGTTTTGGAGGTAGCTTTCTTGTCCCTGTTCCTGGCCGTGTCTTGTTTTTGGCTCCGACGGGACTCTTATATAGAGATGAGTCGAGTTGGTGGCGAGTTAGGCAGACACGTCGCCACTTGATCGATGTTCGTTCCTGATCTGGCTATGATGTAATAGTTTATCTAGGAGTGAGTTACATACATGTGAGATCCTGTCGATTGACTCGGGTGATATAGACAGGGGAGAAAGTTTAGGGCTCTCTCTGTATGGGGTGTAGATATCTACATATGCTGAAAAACATGGGGACGTCTTCTTCAACCTCCTGCATAGAGCAAGATGCGGCCGTAGCCAGATCGATGAAAACAGTAGGTAGTATTCACGTAGAGTGACAGAGCCAAAGAATGTGCCTCTCAATGACCCGAAGGCCATTGAACAAGACGAGTCCACCGCGACGTGCAATGCAGGGTCTCTTCTGTGGAGAGTCGCCTTTGTGAGCGCGATCCCCGAAACAAGGTAAGTATGAAGAAGAGAAGAAGAGAAAGAAAAAAAAACTTGCAAAAGGCGAGCGAGGCCGGCGGCGTTTTTATAGTCGCGGCGGCCGGCGCTAAAGCTAAGCGAGAAACAGAAAAGACGAGCTGATTGGACAGCCAACATTGCTTAGTCAGCTGTGCTATCAAGCGGCCCCTGAGCCGCTGCAAAGATCCATGGAGAAGGGGAGGAAAGACGTGGGAAGGTGGACGTTGAATTCGTTGGTATCATTGTCATTCTTTACGTGCTAGCTTTTGGGAGATAGGCTCCCTGATAACGCAGATAAAACACAGTAAGCCCGCATGGCAAAGTCAAGAGTAGATGGTGGTGGTTGTTTAACTACCAAAAATCCCTTAGTCATGGGCTCTATCCTGAACTGAGATATCGACTGCTTTCTCGTTGGCGAGTCGCTTCTCCTGCTCGTTCTTATGACCTTTGTTTTCCACTGGCTCACCCTTGCTGCTTCCAGCATTCTTCTTCCCTTTGCTCCGCGCTGTGCCTGCAGAGACAGGGGCCATTTGAACCCACCAGGAGACAGCCGCTGCGCGTTCATTGCAGAACGGGAAGTCCTTGGAGTCATCCTGAGCCCACCGTTTAAACACGGCATCGTTCATCTGGGAGGTGTGTGCCATTACTTCTTGGGTTGGGGCTGGTGGTGTTTTCTGCGCAGGCTCATGCGGAATCTCTGGCTGCGTAGCCGCCGGTGTTGCTGGGTCCGCCGTTGCTTTCTTGTATATGCCGTGGCCTGGGAGAGGGGCAGGTGCACAGAGGGTTTCCCATGGTCTTATCTTAAGCCAGTTATCGGTGCGGTGGAGGATTTCCATCCAGTCGGAGCGGGAGGGAGATCGGGGAGCCAGGAAGATGGGGTACCCGTCACAGATGCGTGCGACTCGAGCTACCATGTGAGCGTGGCGGACGAACTCCTTTTCAGGTGTCTGAAGGATGGAATGACATATCAATATGGAGTGAAGGGCGTCCGTAAGCAGCGGGTGGTAAGTCACGGCTTCATGACAGACGTCCGAGCTTCGGACTTGCTGGCCGGCAGTACCTTGGTTGGACACGGTTAATGCATCTGATTCTTCGGGGTAAGGTGGGAGGTCTGCAGGAGGAGTGGATGAGAAGAGGTCTGACACAGGATAAATCTTGTAGAGAGTAGCAAAAGTGCCGTCTTGTAATTTAGACGGGGTAGGTCCTGGGGTATATTTGATCAGAGAAAGGAAGGTAAGATAGTCGCGAAGGGCCCGTCGCGCATTCGACTTGACCATCTTCCGCTCCTCCAGCCAGCGTCTATGTGCCTGTCTGTCTTTTGGGTCGCCACCGTTCTCTTTCACTTCCAGAGTGTCATCATCGCCAATTGTCGGTCCCTGCGACTCCTTGGTCTTCTCATAAGCAGTCAACGCCTCGTGGATATGTTGACACGAGATACTCAAGTAAACTCCAGCCCTATGGAAGAGCAGTTGAGCCTCCAATCCATGTGGCTGGTCGTTTTCATCTATCTTCTGGTTGAACCGTGATGGCATCATTTTTCGTCGACTGCTTTCAGTCACCACTTCAATGTCCTTTCTGGTGTCTTCATGTTGTCTGCCACAAGCACGACAAGCAGCAAGTCCCTCTGTGAGGTCTCTCGCTGCGCCTAAGAGGTCGTCCTTCAGCATTTTTGCCACAGCTCTAGTTCTGTAGGTAGCCCCGTCCAACTGACGCATAGCAATGATATCATCCAGCGGCCGCAGACTTGTGCATTGCACCAGAGAACGAGATGGGATCTTTTCATGGAAAAAATGGACGTATTTCGCGTCACAGTCATTCTCGTTCCGTTGTAGAACCAACTTTGCAACTTCTTCGAGTGCGGATGCAGACTGCATCGTGGCAACACTAGCTGCAATCTCATCAAGCGCATATGCCTTGGATAGCTTCTGGGTGGCATGTTCCCGCATACGGTGCCGTCGTTCCCGACTCAATTTCATTGTACCGTCTCCTCGACTCCCTCGCACACCCGAACCCCCCATGGGTCCCCCTCCATTGCCACCCAGAAGACCGTATCCCGAGCTATATGAAGAGTTCCCCAGCGAAGATATTGTTCCATTCGCTGCACGTACAGCGAGATCTGTGGCTTCTTCGATCAGCCGACGGATCTTGATGAGGTCGAAGAAGACCGCCGGGTCGATGGGCTGTGGCTGCGGAGAGGCATAGTTGCTGTATGCCAGGCTTTCAAGTATCTCGGGAGGCAACTGGAGCCATGGGCCATGAAAGGACGATATATACCTCCAGTGTCTGCTCAATCAACCAAGACAAACAGTTAGCATCAGCATTGAATACGCTCGACAAGATGAATTGACAGGGATCGTTTCAGGTACAAGAACTAGCCAGTTAACTAACTAGTTATCTTGCGAAAATAAATTCTTCTCATAGCTTCTACCCCAAGCTATATCTAGCTATCGAGCTTCTCCACAGTCATCGGAAAAGTAGAGTAAAGAGAAAATAGTTATAAAAGAGGCAAATAGGAAATGATTACTCACTTGTTGCGACAGATAATGAGAGCAGAAGTCGACGGCTCTGCGGGCGGTGGTTTGATAGCTTTAGGCACAGACGAAGATCCTTGTGGCTTTTGCTCCTGGTGGCCGGGAGAAGCAGAAACGCTGACCGTGGACGAAGCAGGAGAAGCGCCGCCCGGAGGACTGTCTTTCTTTCTCTCGCCGGCTTTCTTCTTCCTAGTCATCGCGGCGGTTCATGGGAGCTCCAGTCCTACCTTTTTTACTTCTGGGAGCGCTTCTGGTGTATCCTGGATAGTTAATTTTGATACTTCCAGAATGTTTAATGACGGAGGGAAAAAAAATAACTAGCGTCGACGGAAGTTAAGTTATCTGTTTAAAAAAAAAAAAAAAAAAAAAAAAAAAAAAAAAAAAAAAAAAAAAAAAAAAAAAAAAAAAAAAAAAAAGACGACTGGTTCAGCTGAATATTAATAAGAGAGGCCTTCTACTAGGCCAAGAACACAGGGCTTTGCAGTTTGCCCTTTATCTGGAAACTGTGCTTGAATATTATTTATGCAACTTGCCGGCAGTTTTCCCCCATACTCGTGGGCTTATATTTACTTTGACTGAGGTGAAAAGGGGAGAAAAGGTACATGAAATGATGCCGAAGTCACTCTAAATTTAAGCTTAAATTGTCTTGATACTTAAAATCGACTTATTCACACGGATCTGGTAATATATCTTGTTCTACCTTACTCAGTGCTCATGGTGAGGCTTCCGGCAGCCTTTTAGGAGGGCCAACGACAAGGGAAACATAGGGCCAGGTATTTGAAAGCTTGTACGAGGAAATAAACCAAATTATAACTACGTATTCAATGGGTATCCATGATATTTATTACCCGACCATAACTCCCCGGTTATGCTCGTAGCATTTTGCACATATAAAGAAAACAACCGCTCCAATATGCCATCAATGTTTCAAGAGTCGGCGCTAAGTGCAAGACAGGCATCAACTGCAAGACCAACCCTTTACGACGAAGAATGATTAGTTTGGTGGGCTAAAACAAAGCGTTGTAGAGAAAGGTGGCACTTACCGTCCTTCTTTCATGGTGACAACATCGTCGATCAAATCTCTATCTAAATTCGGGAACATACCAGCGAGTGTCCTGTAATGCATGAAATCAGTATATATCCTCAATTTATTTTCGTTTACATTGTGTTTCGAAAAGACACGTACTCGACAACATCGTTGTGCTCCGCTTGCTGGATACGACGAGCCTCCGCGGACTCGGCACTTGCTTGACGGGCCGCAGCCTCCTGCGCTTCAAAGCGGGTAGCTAGAGATGGTGATTTTCCATCACGACCCCTGGATCCCTCCTGGTTTCTCCACGAATCACTGTCCGGGCGCTGCCCATTGTATGGCACATTCTCAGAAGTCGCTGAACTCTGTTGATTGAAAGGGGATCGTTCTCTAGAATGATCTGTATCATCAGAGAATATACGACCAATTGTCGTCAGTGGCTTCTGGATGGTTCGTAGCAATCCGGCAACTGGGGTGTTATCGTCGGAAACAGGAGAGTAGGGGGGCGAGTGCTCATTCTGCCGCGAGTTCGAGTGTCCTTCAAAAGAGGGCCGTGATGCTGTTTCTCGTGCTCTGCTAGCAGGTAGCTTTTCGGGTACGGATGGTGGTTCCTCGTGGTCTGGATTACGCTCTGCTATGGCAGAAACGGCTGCTTCTACATTTCGCTCGAATTCCTCATCGCTGACAGTTAAGGATGTCCTATCCAAGCTTTCTATGAACTGGATGGCTCCAGACTATCCTCCAGTCAGTAAACAGAGTAGTTTTGGGGGTAGTGGTAAATGAAACATACAAGAGAAGACAAATAATATCCTGCCTCACCGCTCAGCTTTTCTTGGTTGCGGAACCGCAGAATATACTGTACGTTGGACACTAGATGTTCAGGATTCGCCTTGAGAACCACATATATCAATAGAGGTATGAATGAGTCGGCCGAGGTATCGCTGTTCTTTGCATGGCGTAACAGTCCTGTTTATATTTTAATTAGGCCATGGTCTCATCTTCAAGGTGGTGGGATATATGAATACCGAAGATAACTTTGCAGCAATTCAAAATGCATATTACTTTATCCCGCGGCGCTCGGTAGCCCTTTATCTTCAATAGCTCTAAGCTAGGTTAGAATGAGGGATCTATCAATCGGTCAAGTGTAAAATACCTTGTTGCGCCAAAAGCAGAAAACGACGGCCGTTTGGGCCAACGGGCGGGATATCAAGATGTTCTTCGCGAACCCAACTATATATCCGAACTTTCTGAGCCAGAATCTCATCACGCTCAACGTCTTCCTGGTGCTGGCCACGTCTACCGGGATGATGCATCCTCTCTATTTCCTTTCTCCTCCCCCGGCTTCTACTTCGCGAGGGGGCTGCCGGTGGTGGAATGGTTGGGGAAAATGTTTGGGTATAAAGTCTGTTCATAACAAGCTTCTCCATTCCCTCTTTGGCGTTATCAAACTCAACGTCAGATACACCCTTCCATACCTCACATTGGGCCATTTTGTTAGTGATGAATGCTAAGAAATCACTTATTATCTTAACTTGTTCGTGAACCATCCACTGACGCTTTCCAAATTCATTCAGGAATGAGCGTAGAAATTTGGCTACTGGATCAGCAGTCCGATGTCGCAGTTGTTCCAGGAAGCGATGGAAGTCAAATGGCTGTTCTGTTTCTGGCTCTGGTGGTGGAGGAACCGTTGACGTTGGCGTTGATGGGCTGTGGTGAGTATCAGGCTTTTCCACAGCTACCATTTTCCCTGCGCTGGTCAGGGATGGGGACTTAGGTGGTACAGCGGGAGGAGACATTGCCTGACAGCTGCTGCCGGTGCTTGTTAAATTTGATGCAGCTTGGGTATCTGCCGATTCATCGTTTTGTTTTGCAGGCTGCTGTTCTAAACTTGAATTCCGAGGAGGGAAGTGTCCCTGGCCGGTCCGAAACTGGTCAGCTAACTCTAGTCTTGGAGACATGATCTCTTCCTGGCGGAGGCTGCTGGTCTCATCCGAAAATTGATCCATGATTGTCTGTATCTCCGACTGAGAATCTTCGCTCTTCCTCTCCTCACTCTCGGCTTTGGGTTGACAACTGTCGTCGAGTAAGTCATCCTGAGGAACTTCAGGTAGGTCCTTATCCGCTGGAGGTCGTGAAACCTGCGGAGTTTTAGGGGTGGGATCGATATAAGGCTCGTCTTTTTTAGGGGGGAGAGGCGGCTGGCCACCTGCTACGTCCACATGAAGCAGTTGGCCAGGATTCCTGCGCTTGGACTGAATAGACAGCTGCTGCTGTGGCTGTGACGAGGATTGTCCGTCATTTTCAGCGGGTGAAGAGGGTTCTTCATCTATATTCGAAGCTTCAACCGTGTCCTCCTTTTGTTGAGGGGAATCAGCCACACCTGCAACAGTCTCGTCAACCTTCGATTCAGCATTGCTGCTCACGTTCTTTGCAGTTGTATCATTTCGAGATTCCTCGCTTTCTCCTACTTGCACAGACGTCTCCCCAGCGACGTCTGAGGGGGGGACCTGGATTTCTGGAGGAGACATAAGCTCGACATGAGCTGTGCGAAGTAGTGTATATACGGCTGTCGAAACGTTGCTGGGGGGTGGGAGGCTGTTGAATCAGCCTACCGTGATCATCGTGGGGGAACTCGTATCGTATAATGTGTTTTGGTTGAAATGATGCCTCGCACACAAACACTGCCTCTCTAACACACACAAAACACTTGCTTCTTTATATATGGGCTGTCAAACCTCGATAAAATTAAGTACAAGCTAGGTGGTCAGGATGTCGATAGGTTCCAGAAAGGCCATGGCCCGCCCGATGAGGTCGGGCCAGAAAAAGTGGCGGATCATTGTTTTACCGAGGCTCCGATGCGGCCCCGGCGTTCCATTTGGAGGTGCTAAAGGTCATTTCACTTCAACAACTTCAACAACACTCAACCTTGCCTTCGACATGATGTGGGAAGAGGAGATTTCGCGATGTGTGGCATTTTCTTCTCGCTGAGCAATGAGAAGCACTGTTATCCGAGCCAATTGACGGAGAAGCTTATCCAGCACAGAGGTCCAGACAGCTACCAGACAGTGTGTGTTCGTGTTAACCAGACGGCAGCCTACCTAACTTTCGTGTCTTCTGTACTTGGACTTCGAGGAGACTCTATTCAGAAGCAGCCGCTGGTAGATGATAACCAATCGGTCCTCTGCTGGAATGGCGAGGTATGGAAGTTTGCAGACCGCGCGCTAGATGGAAATGACACCTGCGTTATTTTTCAGTCTTTCATGGATGCGGTGAAGCCTCGCAACGGTGAAGGAGCTGAGAATACATTAGAGAAACTATGTACTGCAGTTAACAACATCTCAGGCCCCTTTTCGTTTGTGTTTTATGACAGTTGCTCGTGCCGGATATTCTATGGAAGAGATTACCTTGGTCGACGGTCCTTGCTCCATGGGTGGAGTAGTGATGGGAATTTTCGAATATCCAGTATTCGGGATGGAAACATATCGGACTACTTTGAAGAAGTAGATACTACTGGAATTCATGTCATTGATCTGACTAGCCCGCCCGAACAGGAGAACACGGAAGCCAATGCTGGAACACCCACATGCCCGGTCAAGACTTTTGTTATCCCATGGTCCCCTGATCCGACGTTGAGTCTTGTGAGAATACTAATAACCAGCCCTTGTTTTTAAACCAGATGTAATGTACGATTCACAGCTAACACATTTAGAAACGGCCTATCCCTGCTATGGATACATCTCTCCCGGAGAGGGGCTCTGCGTCTCCCCTAGCCATTGACTCCCTATGTATAGAAATTCTACAAGAAAAACTACTGGAGTCGCTTAGACTACGATTATTGACGGTACCGGACATTTTAACCTCAACGGAAACTAAAGTTGCCATCCTTTTCTCTGGTGGCCTCGATTGCACCTTGGTTGCGAGACTAGCACATGATGTATTGCCTATGAAAGCGCCAATAGACCTTCTTAATGTGGCGTTTGAGAATCCACGGGTAGTGGCCGCAGCTACCAAAGGCTCGATCTCTGGAACTTCATCAACTTCCGTGTATGATGATTGCCCCGATCGCAGGACTGGCCTATCGTCGTTTCAGGAATTAAAAAAGGTCTGTCCTGGCCGGGAATGGCGGTTCGTCCGCATTGATGTTCCGTATACCGAAACCATGGAACATCGACCACGGGTCAAACATTTGATGGCACCACACAATACAGAGATGGACCTCTCCATTGCCTGTGCTCTCTACTTTGCTTCAAGAGGCAAAGGTATGCACCACTCCGAGTATAGCAACGGGGAAACAGGAATCAACTATACCACACCTGCTCGTGTCCTTTTATCGGGTTTAGGCGCAGATGAAGTGTTTGCTGGATACAGTCGTCATGCCATCGCTTTCTCACGACATGGGTTTCGTGGCCTAATAGACGAAGTCCAGCTTGACGTTGGCAGGTTAGGCAAGCGGAACCTAGGCCGTGATGATCGCGTAATATCTCATTGGGGCAAAGAAGCACGATATCCATATTTGGATGAAGACTTTTTGACATGGGCACTTTCTCGGCCTATATGGGAGAAATGCGGATTTGGGTGCGAGGAAGTTAAGATAGAGCAAGAGCCAGACGTGGAAGATGGCAAGAAAGCCTTGCGTCTAGTTGCGTGGAAACTAGGCATGAAGGATGTAGCCATGGAGAAGAAGAGAGCAATACAGTTTGGATCTCGGACAGCAAAAATGGAGAGTGGAAGAAGCAGAGGTACACAAATCCTTGAGTGATCAGCACATTTCCGCCCAAGCCCCATTTCCCTCATCCCAACGTATATATCTATCCCCGTCAGTCCCGTGGCAGCCATGATGACACGACAGATACTTCTGAATTCTTCTCCATCTAATCACGTCTTGGCTCAACATCATGCTCTTTCCGCTCATTTTACCGTTTGGCCTTCTTTAAAAACGCTCCTTTCATTCTTTCTGCTAAACAATAAATCTTCTTATTCAAATCCAGCATGGTGCTCATGACACTCCCTATTCCGGTAGAGCGAGGGCGTGGGCACCTTGTGGGTCAGGATAGGGGATGTGCAGCAGTTTTTCTGGTTGGATGCGCTCGAAGAATAAACAGTGCGAACGGAGAAAGGATGTGCTGAGTTGGACAGAAGACGGAGTGAGAGCTGAAGAAATTAAGGCAAGTCTGAGCTGCATGCAGAAACGCCCCTGTTAACCAGTACTCTTCTGTTGGTGTGTTCTAC